AAATAATTACAGGTTTTAAAACACCCCAAATGTGCAACACAAGCAGATTGATATAAGTTGTCTCTTATTGCACTTATTCAGTTTTTATTACAGATTTTGCTAAATTCAGTACTGTCTGATGGATAATAACAATTTTTAAATCTGTTTGTCCTTGTTTTGATTGATCTGTACCTTTGCCTGATGATAACAGTTCAAACAGATCATGTCCAGGGTTAAACGTGCCCTTTAAGGTGTTTTGGGCATTTTCCAAGCTGCAGGAACTGTGTGGATCTGTTTCGTTTTGTTTCATTATCTGTAAGCCATAATCATCAAAATTACAAGAAATAAAGGAGTGAAATATTTCACTTTATATGTAATGAATATGAATATGTTTCACTTTCTGAAGTGACTGACCAAAAATATAGAACTTTTTCACGATATTCTAATTTTCGAGATGTACCTGTATGCCCCTGCTTTTAAACATGTGATTCAGAGCCATAAATCACCTCAGGAAGATCTGCAATCCCCAATCCTGGTCCTTAGGACACTTCATGCTGCATAATTTAGATGTTTCCCTGCCTCAACACATCTGATTTAAATTGTTGAGTCATTAGCAAGCTTCTGCAGAACATGAAAATAATATGAATATTATTTTGAAACAGGAGCAGACACATTTTTAAATTCTGTGGGACAGTAGGCCCAATTTGCAAGGGAGTTAAAATGCTAAGTTAAATGTCCAAGCAATTCTTAAAAATAAATAAATAAAAAAAATAAATCACCTTAACAGCTTAACATGCTTTAACTGCAGTTTCTGTGTTTTTGAAGCATACATTTGTGATGTTCTGTTGAACCAAGGTTGTATTTTTTTGCCTGCATGTCTGCAGCACTTTCAGGCTGCCTGATCTCCTTGAGTGAGCAAGGCAGAAAAATGTTTCAAGACATTCATTTCACCCTGAAACAGTGGACACTGTCTGCAGTTTCAGCGAGAATTCACACTCTGTAAGATACACTGTGATTTAAGAGGCCATTTCTGGAAGTTATAGAGCTCAATCATCAGAAAAGAGACACACGTCTGGAGATAAATTGGCACCCGGTGTCCCCATCCAAAGAAATACATGGCTGCCTCAGGTGTCAGAGAGTATCACTGTCCAGCACTTAACCAGATTTATCCTTGCACCACAGAAGAACAAGGCAAAAAAAAAAAAAAGATTAAAAAAAATCTGCAGCCTTTTAAATGTCCAGTCCTGGAATAGTTCAGTGACATTTATCAATAGTCTATATCTGTGCACATTTGGACTGATTGGGGGAGTGATGGGCGAGGGAATGGCTGCACCGTTCTTTACTGCTTGAGAGAGCAGCTCAATTTTCCATCAGTCTCACTAGTCATGCTCTGAGCTTGAATGATTTCGATAAGACGAGCTGAGGGTGCGGAGTTTCCCAGCACCGTCACATTTTGGACCCTTCACGTGGACTTATTAGGCCTTCGAAGTCCCCTCTCCACCTACAAACAACACCTTATTCAGACTGCACGCACTCCTCGCACGCTGGAAGTAGTCCTACGCTGAAACCAATTAATAAGAGAAGTTACGTTCCACTTGAGCGCCCCCCTTAAAATGGACTCATCTTCACGCCGAGCGCCGTTGTTTGTGCGTCGATGCGTGCACGACGCAGTTTGTTTAATGTATCGGCGATGGCAGATAGCACGGCTCTTTCTCAGAGGAGATAAAACGCCCCATGCTCCATGCTAATGAACATGCTCCCACTGAATGGCCTGTGCACGGTCCTGTCTCATCTCCCCTCCATTTTCCTCCCCACAACCTCCCGCCCTCCCGCCCTCACCTTGCTCACCCCTGTCTTCGGTTTGACACATCCAGAAAACAACATGCAGGGTCTTGGCTCGCTCCGTGCACCGAGGGAGAGTTTGATTTAGCAGGCAGAAACATTCATCCAGACTCAGCAGTAAGACACTATCACACACACACAAAAAAAAATGTCAGAAAATAACTAAAAATCCCATAACACCAACAGTATGGTTGGCTGCATTTCATGTTTTCTGCATTAAGCACACTACTGAACACCAGCTTCCTGTTCATATTTTTTCCACTGGATCTGCAGAAAACTTGCTTTAAAGTGGAATAAAAGTAGCTGTGGTAAACACTGCTGCCATGCTCATTTTTCTGATGCTGTGTGCTGCTTATTGTGAGATTATGAGCCCCGTTATGCAACGGCACGCAGAGGTCTTAAGTGTATTGTAAGATGATTTCAAATGTAAAGGTCAGTAGTCATGAGGAGCACCACTCAGCCTGGAGCACATTTAGACAAACATATTCAGTGCTGCACATAAGGATAATATGTCAGACAGGGTGAAAATATGCCGCTGGTTGCTTAATAAGAAATGTGAGCTGCTATTTTATTATTATTTTTTTTAAGTTTGTTCATATTGGGGACTAAAAGCCAAGATGAACAATCTGTTTTCCCATTGGGTTTGTTGTTAAGATGAACATAACGGTAACAAGAAAACGATTACAATCATCCTCTGCTGGGAGGAGACAGAGTTACAGCCAGTTTGGTCAAACCTTGTAAAATAAGTCATTTGATATTTTGAGATCTTGTGAGATGTTTGAGTCTTAAAGAATGGGCTGAGACTCTCAGATACTAGCACCCTAAAATTAACCCAATATCTGTAAAACTGACATAAAGCCTTTTTTGGTTGGCTAAGGGTGATTAGCTGTGGTGACCATCTTACCTCGAGTTGACTCCAAAAGTTAATCAGTTATATCAAAGTTCATGCTCAATAATCCAGGTAAAAAGTCCAACAAAGTTCAGTCAGGTCCTCTGGATGGTTTCTTTTATTTGTTGACATGCTTTGTCCTTCATCCAAAGGTCTTCATCAGTCCGAGGAGCCACAACAAACTCAGTTCCACAAGCAGCACACTCACAAAGTGGACCAACCAGTTAAATGGTGATACGATGGTCTCCGGGGCCCACCCTCTCCCCCGTCAACTCCTCTGAGGCAGCCATAGCCAAAGTGGTTCAAATCATCAAACTCCTTGGACTGATGAAGTCCTTTGGATAAAAGGACGAAACATCTAAAAAAAAACCAAAAAAAAAAAACTGTCCAGATGACCTGACTGAACTTTCATCAGTTATAGATGTGCATCTATGAGTAATTAAGAAATTTCCATTAAAACCCATCTTGTGGTTCATGAGATATCTTGCTAACAGCCAGACAAAGTTCATGAAGTTAATGCCTACATTACATTTTAGGCAAAAATATTGTTCAATGTATAGTGCTTGAACAATGCGGCGTTGTTGGTGCACAGCTACTACATCAGCAAATTTTAGCTCAGAAATGGTCAAACTGACATAGTTATGGTTGGTGTATTGTAGCAACTTGCTTAATTTGTGTCAACTTTAAAAGGTAATCCGTTGTAGAAGTTCACCCAATTACTTTCTGAGAGTTTCATTAAAATCAGTCTTGTGGTTCATGAAATATTTTGCTAACAGACTGACACAAATGACTTCAGTAATTAATGGCAAAGTAAAAAAAAAAAAAAAACAGATCTTGTGTGATCAGGTG